ACCGCTGTTGCCAAAGTTTCTTCTGTGTTTTTTCAGACAAGACAAGAGCGGATTGTCTCCTAATGAGAGAGAAAGTGTTAGAGGGGAAGAAGAGAAAGAGAAGCTGTTTTATAGCTCTGTTTTTCTCGTTTAACATCAGTAAATCCAGTACAGTACTGTGGCACCTAAAGTACAGCCTTTGTTTTCCTAGGGTTCTGTTTGAAGATAAAGTTTTGCCGTCTGTATCACTACCAACACTGCAAACCCTGAGTTTAAAAGGGTGTAATCTTCACCAAACTCTGTAAAAAAAAAAAAAAATAAAAGTCCAAAAGTCTAAAAGCAAGCCATATGTATTTTGCTGTGACTGTGAGGCTGTCGGAGAGGCAGCAGGTCCTGAATAGATTTACTTGGTAAATTTTGGTGTTGAAGAGATGTCATTCAAGCACAATCTTTGGTTTTATTCCAATCTCATTCCACGTAGATCAAAAACTAACTCATCCGTGTTTCACTGAATACACAAAACCAGATTCTGGAGGAATCATGTTGAAGAAAACTATACATTAAAATCCTTTTGTCGACCTGGGTAACCATCTGATGATTGATGTTTTACACCATGAATCATAAAACTTTGAGTATAATCTGTAGAAAACTGAGATTTTGCACCCAGTTTCTCTCTCTGAGCCCCAGAACCAACAACCTAAACCTTAGTTTTGTCCTAATTGAGCAGTAAAAACTTCTCTTCCAACTACAATTTGATGTCTCAAATTCAGTTTTAAAAAAGGTCTCAATGAGCCCTGAGTGATCAGATGATGGAAAGCTGTGTTTCATCTACATACTGTAGCTGTGAAAGTTGATACTGTGCCTCCTGATGACGTTTCCAAGAAAAGTGTTGCACCTAAAATTGACCCCTGGGGAACGCAGCAGTTTTTATTCACATAAAGTCTTCCTTTAGTGAGATAAGATATTAACCAGTTCAAAACGAGCATACTAGCACATTAAATTTGAAGGATCAGTATTTGCACTTCAGTCCTCCTTCAGGATAAGCTGAGATCTCAGCCTGAGAAACCTCATGCTGGTTGTTCATATGTGTGACCTCATACTCAGAGCTAATGACCACAGATTAGAGAGGATACATCGATCACTGAGCTGTGCCCACTAGGTCGCCTGGTTGTATTAGAGTAACTGTATGGTATGTTAACAGCATCTCTGCCTCAGTGCCCATCTCACCACAGAAGTGTTTTATGGGCTTTATAATGATGTGCATGGATGTTGATAATTGATAGGCAGTGGAGCCGGTGCATGTGGACAGCAGAGGGGGTGTTGGAGAAGAGCTCAACAGAGCAGTTATAGTGGGAACAACAAGCTTCAGGCTGTGAGTTAAGGACCACATTTAACCCCCTTACACCTGTTTTCTGCAAAGTAAACAATGCTGTTACCGTTTTATGAGGGTGACTCACTTAAAAAGCCTTCAATGGGCACTTAAATCCATAACTGCAGCAGGGGCCATCTGGGATGATTCGATGCTAATCATGTTGCATAGCTTATCGCAGACAAGTACATTTTTCTACGGTGCAGACAGAAAACCTGGAGTGAACTCAGTAAAACTAGAGAGATGAGAAATGTGTTTGTTTGGTTCTTGAATGTGCAGGGAAACTGATTAACTCAAACATTTCGATAAAAAAGGAAACTTTTTTATCAAAATGTTTGAAACTAGCCCAGACCCTGAAATATAGAGCAGTGCTGTTGGAAGATCACGGCTGATCAGGTGTCCTCTATCAAGGATTAATGGACAACCTAGGGTCTAATAATACTGAACACTTCATTGTGAATTTCCCAGTCACGACTTTCACCCATTAAAAACATGGATAAAATCTCTGTGAGATCACATATTGGTATATCTGAAGAAACACAACTGTGGCAATGTATTGAAAATGCTGACTCATCAAAACTTTGAGTCAAGAGAGAAACAGACAGAGAGATAAAGATAGGACAAGCAAGTGGATTCAAACCCAAACCATGACACAACAATTAGGAATGATATTTAATCAATCACTCACCCAACCAAAGTGATTGTATGAAAGAATGGAAATAAGGGGGAAAAAGGCATGACGTAGCAAAGAAGAGAATAAGTAAAGACAAACCAAGAACTGACAGGGAGAAAAGGAAAAAAAGAAAAAGTGAAAGAAAGAAAGAAAGAAAAAGAAGAGGATGATGATAAAAATAATGGAAAACAAAGACAGAGTCAAGAGAGAATGAAAGACAAAAGAGAGGAAAAAGGATGGATGAAGAGGAAAGACAAAAAAACAGAATATATGAAACAAAGAGTCAAGAAAGAAAAAAAGGAAATTATAGAAATAATGAAAAAGACAAACAATGGGAAAGAGAAAGAATAAATAGTAGAGAGACATAAAGAAAAAAAGACGTTGATAAAAGAAAGACAACCTACAAAGAAAACAAAGAACTGAATAAAGAATGAAAACAAAGGGAGAATCAAGACAGAAAAAAATGAGTAATCCTTTTTTTTTTTTTTAACCTAAAGCTTTTCTCAGTTTTTTTATTCATTTATTTTACTTATATTTATTTTCAGGAGGATAAAATCCAAACGTCAGGAGTCAGGACAGTTAAACCCTTTACATGGACGAAGTGAATTACTAAAGATCAGTCTTCAGTTTACAGGGACTTTAGCATGCTCACACTCTACCTGATCTTAATTTAGACTGCTTTTATAGACGCACAGATGATAACAGTCAATGAAAATAACATGGACTTGTGTGTCATTAACAGTCATGAAGTGAACATGTCATATGGTTATTATTGTTTACTACATCAACTGAACTCACTCTACAGACCCTCAAGGTGCAGAAACCATCCAGAGGGACTTACTGCAGGTTCAGTTCCGTCTGTGGAGGAGCTCATTAAGTTACTGTGGCTTATTACATTCAGTGGGGATATAGTTCCACCTAGTGAGTAAATTCAGTATTGCAGCCATCACTGTTACACAAGTATTACACTATTCACGTGGCTGATTATCAATTGTGCTGAAATGTGCTGATCAGCACATTTCACTTACTTGGACATTCTCCTTCTTTTCTTTTTTGGATCTGTAGGTTTTTTGTTTCACATTCATCCATCCATGCAAAGATAAAATTGTGTCTCTGCAGAATCTTCTGGACCAGTGACGCGATTCTTGTCCCAACCTTACCCCTAAAACTTTTTCACACTTCAAGGCTCTTCAGTGTGATTTCCCCCTCAGCTGGTACTTTTCAGATATATTTCACTCAAAAGGACCCCAATTTATTTTGACATTTTTACAGTCTGTTTGAAAGGAACTGGAGCACTTGTGGGACAGATGAGCAGGAGGTGGATTGAGCAACAGTTTCAGATCCAGTCAAGGTTGAAACAGAACAGCTAGTTTCTAAGGAGCACAGCTGCGGCTCTCCAACTGAACTTGTCCAAAACTCTTCACTCATGTTTAGTTTTTACTGCTGCTGTTCAAATCTTCAAACTGACCCCAAATCCTCACTTGAATGGACAATTTTTAATATTTGCTGAGCTGCTGAGAGTACAGACTAGACAGATGAACTGCAGTCTAGGACAGATGTATGAGGATTAAAGTTCAGGAGGTTTTTCAACGTACAACTGCAGGAATTCAGTGATTTCATTACCTGCAGTCCAAAATATCATCAAAAGATTCAGAGAATCCAGAGACCAAGACTTTTGACCTCTCAGGCTGCACTGCATTAAAAACCCACATCACTCTGTAGAGGATTTTACTACATGACTCAGGAGGACTTTAGGAAACCATTCATTGTCAGTTAATGTGATCCGTCTCTACATCTTCAAACTCCAGCATGCAAGGCTGATGAGTGGTCTGACGAGTCCACATTTCAAACAGTTTTTGGAAATCATGGACGTGTTGTTCTCCAGACTAAAGAGGAAAGGGCCATCCAAATTGTTCTCAGGTCAAAGGTCAAAGCCAGCATCTGTGATGATGTGGAGTTGTGTCAGTGTCCATGGCTAACTGTCTCATCTGTGAAGGCTCCGTTAATGCTGAAAGGTACAGACAGCAACACTGGCTGCCATCAGAGTCCCGTCTTTTTCAGGGATGTCCCTGCTTATTTCAGCGAGACAATGCCAAGACACATTCTGCACGAGTAACAGCAGCATTGCTTTAGAGTCAAAGAGTGACGGTACTAGATGGGCCTGACTGCAGTCCAGATCTGTCTCCCATTGAACCACAAAATACCACAACAGAGACCCCGGAGTGGTCCATCAATCAAGACTGTGAAAGAATCACTTCCAAAGATTCAACAGTCAGTGTCCTCATCTTAAAAAAGGCTTTCTGAGTATTGTTAAAGGAAAAGTGATGTGACACAGAGAGAAACATGACCCTGAACCAGCTTTAGGAATGAGTTAAAGACATCAAAATCAAAATCAGTAAAAAAAACGAATAAAAAAACATATATATCGTATATAGTTTCTTGTATAAAACATGATATGACCGCATATGGTACCAAACAATATGTGATAATACACGATGAAACTGTAAGATACAAGATGGTATGATAGGATATGATACAACATAATGACACAGTAAGATACAATAAGACACAGGACCACATGCTTTATGATTTGAGATTATACCGTACATTATAATCATCAGTGGTTGGCCTATAGTAAAAAAGAATACCATGATGCTATAAATGTGTATTTGCAATCATGACACAAACTCGTTTTATGGCTGAAGATTCTCTTTTTGTTCTAAAGTTAGTATTATTGTCAATGAAAAATGTGCTGTTTCTGTGTAAAGCTCTGCTCATCTGTTTATTTGACAACATCCCCTCACTCCTGATAAGTCTGCCGGGGTGTTTTCTTCCTCCATATCTGCTGAGTTTCTCTTCTTAAAATACACTTTGTTTTTATTCAGGAGAGTTTCTGCCGTGTCATGTCTGTTAGAGAGGAGGGGGACTGTGAAGCAGCTGAAGGGGAGGAGCTGCAGAGAGCAGAAGTGATTTTGCAACCTGTTGTAGAGCTCATATTGCATGTGGACTAAAGAACAACCTGACCTGATTCCTCTGTGGGCCTGCAGCACTCTGACTGAGACTGAGACCTGCTACAGCTAATGTCAGTTAGCCTGCACTGAAATTAACCAGCCATGGCTGAGAGAGCCAGTCCGACTGATCCTGGGGAGGAAGAAGAGGAGCTGGGAGAAGACAAAGACACTCACACCCATGCTGATCAGCAGGAAGACACTGTCCCAGAGCAGGACCACCTGGACGAGGATCAGCAGCATCCAAACCAGCCTGAGGAGGACCATGAATGTCCAGGCTGCCAGTCTTTGGGTGTGCTGACGCTGCCCTGTGGACACAAACTCTGTCAGTCATGTATCCAAGTGAGCCAGGAGGAGCTTGGTCAGACCGGCTGCACCATCTGCTACGGATCCCAACTGATGGACTCAGTCCTGCGCTCTCTCCTGGAGACTCTGTTCCAGGGACAGCCCAGGAGAAGAGGAGTCACACCTGGAACAGGAGGGGAGGGCATCCTGGCAGGGGATTATGGAGGGAAAGCTGAGGAAGAGGAAATGTGTGTGCAGCATGGAGAGATGCTGAATGTGTTCTGTCTGGAGGAAGAGGAGCCAATCTGCTCACAGTGTGAGACAGATGAGCATGAAGACCATCAGAGCTGCTCCATTCAAGAGGCCATCCTCGACTGTAAGGTCAGACATCAGATTCAGGACGCTGACCTAAATAGTTTGGCTAAGTTGCAGCAGCAGGAATGAAAAGAGCCTTCCATGAACCTCATATCACAGTCTGTCTGAGTCTGTATTTTTGGGCGATGTCTTTATTGGTTGGGGAAGGGCTCTCTTATGACCAATGCAAACTTATGTGACATTATCCAATGGGAGCACAGAGTCTTCTGCTTATGTACGAAGGTCAAAAGTGTGAACAAACAAACTGTAAAGTGAAAGAAGAGAGATGAAGTTAGAGGGATGTTGTCTAGCTCTGGAGACAGCATCCCTGCCTTTATGATGTGTTGTCTGACGGTCCTCTTTGCAGGCATCATCTAGTATCTTGGTCTGGTTTCACAAAGTTATCAGAGATGCCCATCTTCAGTTTATATATTTCTGCATGTTAATTATTTGCAGATCACACTCCTCATGCATATTACAATGCATTTGATGTTTTGTCTGCAGAGAGAGCTGAGGTCTGCAATCAGAAACCTGCAGGAGCAGCTGGACAGTTTAACAACTATCAAACAAACCTGGGAGGACTCTTCAGCTCACATTAAGGTTCTGCAAATGGGAGGATTTGTAGTTTTCAAAATGTCATTGTAGACATTAAATAAACCCTCTAACGTGATATTTTCTAATTTGCTGTCAGAGCCAGTTGGTCCAAACAGCTCAGTTCTTAAGAGAGGAGTTTGAGAAGATGCATCAATTCCTCAGTGAAGAAGAGGCCTCTCTGATGTCCCAACTCAAACAGGAAGAAGAAGAGAAGAGTCAGAAGATGAAAGAAAAGATCGACAGGATCAGTGACGATATACACGTGCTGACGACCAGTATCAGAGAGACTGAAGAGGCCATGGGCTTAGATGACCTGGTCTTTCTAAAGGTAATAAGCAGAAACTCACAGACTGTCACTCTTTACCATTCTGATGGGGAGAACATGTGTCTACATGCAGGTGGCTATTATCCAAAAACTTTAGGTTCATGAGTTTGTTCTGGAGTTCTTCTTTTTTTGGGGAGGTTTGAATCTGCTGTCAATTCTCTGCTCTCCATGACTAGAGTAAACTCACAGATAACCTGTATCTCCTCCATCTCTTACAGAACTACAAGAAGGCCTGTGAAAGGTGAGTCTCTTCAGATCATTCAATGCTTAGTGCATTTTCATCAACCTTTATTGTTTGTTCTAAAACACTTCAGCAATGCATTTTCTTTTATTTCCCCCTTTTTTTAAGCTGCAAACCTCAACCATTCCCAGTTTTCTACCTTTGAGTTAGTTCACAGAACATTCATCCACATATATTGTCCAAATAAAAATAATTACATTTTTAAAACCATCTTGAAACAGCTAAGACAGGCGATCTTTAGTCCCTGTTTTTGTCTCAGAGCTCAGCACAGGGTAGAGGAGCCTGAGGAGGAATCTGGAGCGCTGCTGGATGTTGCCAAACACCAGAGCTGTGTGCAATACGACGTCTGGGACAAGATGCAGAAGATCATCCAGTACTGTGAGCAAAATCCTGATCCTGTGTGCATGAAAAACACATCTTATTTCATCATTCAGTTCCACTTTTATGAGCATAGATGACTGTGTAAGTTAGGTGGCTTTTGTTACCAAAAAAACTAAAAAGGATCCAAGATTAACTGGACCTCAGTAAGCCAAACCCTCTTCCTGCTGCTACCTGGATTTTGCAGTGATGAGGGCCAGCCAGCTCTGACCCCCTTGTGTGGTTATGTAGACAAAATCAAGGAAGAGCACGGAAATACTTTATCATCATCATCAAGAGCCTGTTTCCACTGATAACATTGTATGTGTTCTCAGTACCCAGAATCCTCAGTTTTAGAGCTCTCCTTACCAGTGCTTACTGAAAGTTGTCTTGCAGTTTCCACTTCTTTGGTGGTGACCATGATGTCTGCATGCTTCATATTAACTTTTCTTAATGTACATGTTCCTCATTTGTAGCAGTTTTAGACGTGGTAGTTGTACCCTTGAACAGACTAGTCCAGAAGGTTTCTCATCTGCATTTCTTGTTGACGAAGCTGGCATCAGAAGTCCCGCCCCTTTTGATGTTATCTGATCAGTGATGGAGAAGTGGCATTGATGAGCATAGTGGTGTTCAAAAAATTGAATTAATCTAATCTAATTGGTAGAGAAAATATGCACTACTGACATAAAAAAATACCATCAGTGGACAAAAACCTTTACTGTTTACTGTTTTTTTACTCAGGTTGTAAATGGGCGCACAAGGCGACCACTTGACAACCCAGTTGAAATTCATCCAGAAGCCATCAAGTTTGGCACTTTGGTAGTTGCCATCTTGGTCCATTGGAGCCAGAAGTGATGATGTTTGAGTGAACAGCTGGCTGTGTTGTGCTTCCATCCTGGTAGCTGAGCCATGTTGGTAGTAGCATAAACGATTTTAGAACCATCTCACTCTTCCTTTTCAGACATCTTTGTGCCCCCTCACTGCTCAGCTCATTTTGTCTGGATTTCTGCACATCCTCAACAAGCTTGTGGATACAGACCAAAAGCTGCAGTACCACTGAGAACAGTGGGAGCTGTGCAGCTAACAGTTCCAACCATCACCTTTGTAAAGTTCCAAAAACGTAACCCCCTTGCCATATGGCGTCCACCACTAACAACACTGCCTCTGATTTTTCCCTTTTTTTTTTTTTTAAACAAATGCATAATTATTCCCTTCTATGTTGCCTTGCTTGTTGTTGTCATAAAGTTTTGACCGGTCTCCTCTTTCTTCTTTAGGGTTACTTTTAGGTCTAAGTGGCTCCTCCACTTCTTGTGGTTTGAGGTAGCCAGACCTGCATGTTTTGGTTTGTCAAGAGCGGCTAATACTGTATTGGAAATCCTTCACTGTCCATGAATGTCTCAACAGAAAGAGCCCCTTTGTTGGCATCTGTCGCCGGAAACATTCATATTTCTATTTCGTTACTTTTCTCTCGGTGTCTGTTGTCAAATTTAGAGCCATAATTCACCCTTTCAAGCAGATGTTTTAATTCCCTGTCTGAACTAGAAGCTGTGTGTCTTAAGGTTGTTGATTTTAGTCTGTATTTTCTTGACTTACTTATCATCCTTGTCGTCCTCAGTTCCAGTGACCATGGACCCAAACACAGGCTCTGTGTGTCTTGGCGTGTCCCCTGACCTCTCCAGTGTGTTTGTTTGTGAGAAGCAGCCTCTCCCAGAAAACCCAGAGAGGTTTGTGAGCCCACAGAGTATCCTGGGTTCGGACGAGTTCACCTCAGGGAGGCACAGCTGGGAGGTGGAGGTGGGAGACAACAGTCACTGGTCTCTGGGTGTGGCTATTGAGACGATCCGTAGAAAGGACTGGTCTGACTCAGAGCGGAACGTGACCCCTGCGTTAGACTCAGATCCAGACCCTGGTGGTGGTCTGTGGACTGTTTCCCTTTCCTCTGGAGAGTACCAGGCCTCCCCTGGTCACAGCGCCTCCCTCAGACTGAGACGAAAGCCACGCAGAGTCAGGATCCAGCTGGACTGGGAGAGAGGCTGCCTGACTTTCTCTGACGCCAGTGACAACACCCTGATCCATCGTTTCAAACAACAGTGGAGCGGCACATTGAGACCCTACTTCTCCACCACCTGCTCCAAACACCCTCTGAAGATCTCAGCTGGGAAGGTGACTGTTACTGTGGACTAGCAACAAACCAGTATTTCTGTATCTCAGCTCTGGCTGTAAAACACTGTGTACACTATGTGCGTCCTGCAGATTGCACTGATTTTTGTAGAAGGATAATGCCTCACAGGGTTATTGTGCAATATCTTGGAATGACGATATGCTTTATTGCTTAATCAGAGCCGATCAAGTAGATCATCATTGCCAAACTTGTGCAGCAGTTTTCACCTGCAAGTAAAACTATTGACTCATTTGTCTATCTCTCACCTTATTTTCATTCAGTTAAATAGAAATGAATTGAAAAATGAAAAAGATTAATGTGCTTTTTAGTTCATTGTGTGTGCACCACTTTTGTCACAATAAAGTATCAGGCTGCACTCTGCAGCAGCAAAACTGCCACTCCATCTGTAACACAGCCAGCATGGTAACCATAAAACTGTAAACTAGTCAACCACATTTAGGTTAGACCTGGAGCATAACTGGAGGAACAGAGAGACAGAAAGTGCATCTGTGTGAGTCTTTTGTGCAATAGACATGCAGGTTTATGAAGAGATCGTGTACATTGAAAGGGTGACTATGCAAATCAGAATCTGGACAGGGTGAGCAAGTCGTAGACCGATTGTGCATTTCCATAAAATGGTCTAGTTTGGTTTGGTACAGTTTGTTGCAATAGAGTGTTTTAATCTGCATAACCGCCCATTCACTGTAAATTATGTTGCTTATTATCCAGGTAACTTCTGATATTAATAAAGCAGACACAAATTATTGATTTAAAGATGATTATGTTGGATAAAAATTAGATTAAGAGTTGCTGCTATTTTCACAGGCAGCAGTAGGTCCATTGCATCAAATTGTCATTATCATGGGACAATTGCAAGACAGGATGTTTAACCATTTTCCCCATCAAAGATTGGGGCTCGGGTCCAGTAGCTCCTCAGGCTGCTCTTAACAGTGTTGTCGTCGAGTCACCAAAGCTCGAGTCTGTGTTGAGTCTCAAGTCCTCAGTGGTCAAGTCCACATTGAGTCTGAGTCATCAGATAAAAATCAGAATCGAGTGTGACTCAACTCAGAGTCGAGTCCAGGTCCAGTTGAATGCACACTTTAAGTTGCTGATGGCAGACTGTTTCAAATTATTTTTCATGTAAAAGCAAAAATTATTACAACAGTATGTGTACTTCTCTGGGTGCATCCTGGACAGAAGTCTGTTAAAGTTCGACATTGTCCCTGTCTTCTCTTCAATGGTTCTTTTACAAAATGAACACATTGCTCTGATTTACCAGTGTTTGTGGTAAAATCTTTGAGAGCAAACTGCACAACCCATAGCGCCTCCTTCCACATCTTGCTACACACTGTTGCTGAATGAGATGGCACGTGATCATGCATGCAAGTTAACAAACACATGTACCCGCTGTAGGCTGTAAGACAGATCTGCTATTTGGACCTTATACCAGAAGAGTCAATAAATAAAAAATAACAAATAACAAAGCATTCATTGATAAATAAGCAAAAGTCCCAATGCAGCCAGAGCTCGTGTCCCAGTCCAGGTCTGAGTCATCAGCGCACATTTCCGAGTCGAGTCATATTCGGCATATCCGAACTCGAGTTGGACCCGAGTCCAAGTCCTGGACTTCAGTACTACAACACTGGCTCTCTGTGCTACTAAATGTCATTACCTTCGAGCTCCTGAAGGCAGGCCCAAGATGGAAACTAACATTTTTGCTACAGTGCCAACAAGCAGAGGTAATATATGCTAGACAACTTTCTGCCAATTAACCTGCATGTGATCAGGTTGTCCCGGACATCAATGTTGTCATTTAGAATTTACCATTTATTTTGGATTTCGACCCATTAGAGTCAAGTATTCTCTCCAGAAAACTGGGTAACATATACTTTAAATTAGCATTGGGAAAATTAAATAAAATACAATTATATTATAAGAGAAGACAATAACGCAAAAAGCCCCTAAAGTAAAGTGCAGGAAAAATCTCATTGACACCGCCATAAAGGAGTCAGGGACTGATATAGCGAGTCAAGTTGGTGAGTATTATGTCTGCTTTTAAATACAGATGGTTGGCGCCAAGGATTTGATAAATATGTCATACAAGTTGGAGCAATCACTTATTCAAGCATCTTCAAGCCTAATTATGCATAAGCTTTATCTGCAACACAGTTTTAATGGAAATATTACATGATAATTCAACATGTTCCACCTGGCTGTAAAGTTCCACATTTTGATGTTGGCCTCTGTAAAGTTGAATGTGTACTACAAAAGGTAATATTTGTTTTTATAGGAAAGTTCAGTGTATGGATCAGATTAAAAGGCCAATGCTCTGCAGAGTCTGTACAGCATGTTTCAAGACAAAGGAGGTCAGAATCAACAACAGCCTCAGTTCTGTATTTGTTTAAGCTGCTGGTTCAACAAGGAAGGGGCATTTTCCTCGTTTGGCTTTTGGCTTTTATTTCAGTTTTCTCTAAATCAAGGGGAAAATCCAACAGGGGGTGCCAGAGATTTTACATGATCCCGTCTAATCAGCACTCTGGAGAGCCAAATCTGACCCCTGAAATAGTACAACAAAAACTCTCTCCCATTTGGATTTGTTTTTAAAACTACAGTCAGTCTTTATCAGGAAGCAAACATGATTTTAAAAACAACTTTCCAGACAGGTCTTGAACACTATTGATTCTACTCCTCATCAGAATCAACTAAATTATTTACTCAGCTGTACACTGTCCCACTGCACAACATGACGGTAAACTCAGCTGATTTTGATGTCAGAGAGTCCTATTTTCCCTTAAACTGATTTTGATGATTGGCTGGATGGCTGTTTAATTGGGTGTTTGGTTGGGTGGATAGATGGATGAAAAAATGGACTATTATAGTGAACTGAACAAAGCCATGTACCTTTTCTCACCCAGCTTCAACACCCTCAGCAAAGGCAACATCATCTCATCCTTATTTATGTCTTTATATACACGAGGGGTCTGGCTGTAGACCCCCACTGTCAGGACCCACCTCCACTGAGAGGACCTCAGATGACGTTTTTTCTCATTGTTTGAAGTGGTCATCCTGTTTTGTATTTTCTTTTTGTTGAACACATGAATACAAAAAAAAAATCGTATTAACATTATATACATAAAATGAAGCCCCAAGAAATAAAGTATTGTGACATCCCCTGCCTTTGTGTTATGTTGATGGCCACACTAATTTGTTTATATCTTTCAAGGTGCCTGCAGAGCTGATTGGAAGTATCAACTCCAATGTGGAGCACCTGGGCCCAGCGATCTATACTGGATATAAAAGCAGCTCCTGGTGACCTCACTCTCTCTCTCTCTCTCTCATCTGGCTCTCAATTTGGCTCCCTCACGCCCACTGCACCCAACCAGCTTTGCACCATTAATTTAGTTTGAACTTATGTTAGTGCACTCTTCAACACCCCTCACTACACCATGTTCATGCACAATACTGATCCTGCAGATTCTACATACCTCATGTTTAGTTATTGTTTATCCATTTATTTATCTAAATTTGTAATAAATCTTATTTACTTTTGGCACCTTTGGATTCCTACCATCTTTTGTCATGGCTCACGAGCTGGGTTATAACTCTATTCACACAAGACCAAAAATACCTACTTCCCAGTCTAATCACTTTGAATTTAAAAGGCTTTGAATCAACTTCCAACGTAAAAAAATGATATAATAAAGAATAAAAAAATACTTCAGTTACATTTGCTTTTATTTTGAAAGGCTTCAAATCAACTTCCAGTCCACTCAGTGTAGGTGGGTCCTCACAGTGGAGGTCTGCAATGAAGGGTCCTGACAGTGGAGGACTGCAGCCAGACTGTTTTGAAACTCTCATCCCTTTTATAAAGAAAACCAAAACAGCTGTTTTAACCTGGCTGTTACCCACCCCCCCATCAATTTTCAGCACTTGCTGCCCTGTGAATCTAAATCATGCTGGTATGTTTCTAATAACAGTGTAAACCAAACTTAATTTAAAACACTGTTTAATCGAAGGAAGAGAGAAAAAGAGTGTGGATCTTAAGATGGAAGCTCATAGAGAACCGACTGTGTATGAAATCCACAGAGCTGCAGAGTTTTGGTGTAAAAATAAACACAAAGAAACTTCATGTCATGGCTTTAGCTCCAGTGTGACTTAGAAGGAACTCTTGGAAAGCCGAGCCTTGGCATATAAGCTGGACCACAGAGGTCACGATCTGGATGAGGAGCCTGTCTGAGGTATCTTTCTTCTGCTGGAACACCTGCTGCTGTTTGTCTGTCTCACAACAGCTACACCGAGGGAAAACACCACCTGACCTCTCCTGGAAGAGTCAAAGCAACGTGACACACACAACAACTCACAAGCATTTGGCACACATACATATATTTGACCTTTTAGACTCATCAGACACACAGTCATACACATTTATACCCACGTGCACAAGTATCACTGACCTCATTTCCTGAAATAAACTGCCTGTCAGCCATCTGTTAAATAAAGACGGGCTGCACATGCTAAATTGTTAAAGGATGTGACGCCCAACAGTAAAACGATTAATGTGATGCAGCAGGTCAGATAATCACCAAAAATCACCTTTAACCCAGTCTGAAAGCAAACAAGGTACATGCACTCTGGTTAGTTTGCTGGGGGTAAGCTCTTTTGATGGCTGGGACATCCAGGAAATAATGAAAAAGATGCATACATATGAAATACAAGGCAGGTTACTTTTTAATGTCTACTGTAAGGCCAACACCCAAACCCTAAAAAACAGTGTAATTTTTCATCTTTCTAAATTCTGTTTTATTTATTTTTCTAAAGTTTTTCAAATGCAAGAGCTGAACAACCCTAACCATCCATTAAATACATCCAGTAAAATAGTAAAAACAAGTCTTTGATATATATTTGTTATATATTTAGACATGAGGATGTTTTCAGCAAAGTGTGTGGAAATGGCAATATTTATCGTCCCCCGCTGGTCAGGTTCTGGATGAAGTGCCCCTGCTCACCCCTCTTAACAGTAAAGGGATGGTGGCCTTAAAGTGCAAGAAGCTCCTGTGATGTATGACAAATATGATTTTTTTTTTAATAGCATAAAAATTTGAATTTTTTTAAAGTTTTACTTTAAGTGTATATTACGGTAGTTTGTCCCTTCTGTGCTCCTGTGAAAACAAGCTGGAGCAAGATGGTGGCCTCCATAACAGGTTTAAACCATAGACTGTATATAGAATGGACAGAGTCTGCCTCCTCGCTGGGTGAAGCCACTCCGAGAACAGCACCCTCTGTTGATGGGCTGCAGTTTAGGTCATAAATCCCGCCTCCGCCAGCAAAGCTTATGGGGCTGTGGACAAACTTTAGAAATTTAGTTCACAGAATATAAATTTTTCTCTCCCCTGCTTGTGATGTCGACATGTAGTTATTGTAAGACTGGTTTGTCCTCTTTTTTCTGTGAAGCTCCGTTTTTAAAAGTTATTAGGGGGTTCATGTTTTCTATGATTGACACCTG